TCCCAACATCCTCTGCAATTCCTCATGTACGAAAAGGCTTGGGAGGGAAGAAAGAAAGCTGAACATTATTTCTGTCGCCATCCTATGGTCCACAGGTTAGACAAATTTAAAATTCTCTATGCCAAAGCACGACGTACTTTCAAGAAAAGTAAACGACAATCTTGGCGCAACTATGTATAAAAAAATGATTCGCGCACGCCGATATCAAAGGTATGGAATATGATCCAGAAAATCAAATGTCAGGGCTCTAAATCTGAAAGATGGGAGCCAATTATTGACTTATAAATCAGATATTGCAAATATACTTGGTGAGACATTCTTCTTCATCTAATTATGTACCTCAACTTTAAAAGTATCAAAAACAGCAAGAACAGAAATCTATCAATTTCAATTAAGATAATGGGACGATTACAACGAAACATTTTCGATTAATGAGCTCTATACTGCTCTTGACCAGGTACACAATACTGCTGCAGGAGCTGATAGCATCCATTATCAACCCCGAAGCACTGACCGGAATCATATTTAGAGACCCTATTAAATATTTGTTATGACTTTTGGACGTCTGGAAAGTTTCCTTCTTCGTGGCGTGATGCTATAATTGTACCCATACCTAAGCCTGGACGTGATCATGCCGATCCTTCGAATTGTCGACCTATTTCATTGACAAGCTGCTTTTGCAAAACCATGGTTAATAATAGTCTCGTTTGGTACTTAGAAACGTAAAACACTGACCGGAATAACTTACTAAAAAGATTGTTTACTGTGTTCTCGCAAAAACAGAATTACCGTCGATCACTTAGTGCGATCACTTAGGAATCATTTGTCAAAGTAATAATTATTCCATATCACATGACCGATTAAAGGCCATAGCCTCGAGCGAAGCAATGGAATAATGGATTTGTACCAATCCAATCAAACACATGTTTATTTTAAAACTCCGCCTCCGTGATGATGCAACGGAAATATCGCGACATGACATCAGTTTTCATCGCTGCTGGTTTACAGAGACCATATGATGGATGAACTTGGCCGAACCAACAGTTAATGATGTTTTGTGTTTATGTTTAATATGATACCTATGGACATATTGCATGAGTATTTGTATTAAAAACAACATCTGTTTTCATCTAGTTTTCTTTACTCTTGAGTGAGTGAGTTAAATTTTACATAACATCGGCAATATTACAGCCATATAGCGATGATATAGCGAAGGTAATTAATTTAAAATATCTGTCGACAAAGGACAGTAAAACCAACCAGACTAGCACAGATAAATATTTAAAACTAGTAAGTAAATCTAAAATACTTTAACTATGGAGGACGATACAATATAAAAACAGTCTATAGATCGCCATCAGTGAATGAGTTAAAATTTATAGTCACATCGGCAATATTTCAGCCATATTGTGACTTAAAATAGATATAAATTCATTATAAATGCGCAAAGTTTAAAAACCAGTCGACGAAGGACAGTAAAACCAACTAGTATATAACAGTAACAAGAAATAAAACTAGCATATATCACTAAAAGAGGATTTCAAATTAGGACAAAAAAAATACAATATAAAAAAAGGCGGTAAATCGCCATCAACTGAAGGTGGATCACCATACTAGGGACCATGGGGACTTACAGTACCTTTGCTACCTGCATGGACCCTAGTTGGATTTACACCAATCCTTCAGCCGCTGCCGATCGAAGGAAATATTTAGCCAAACTGTAAAGAACAAAAATAGTACGTTTTGAAAATCTATTAAGTTTAAATTTATCTTTGAAAGACTTCGTACTTACGTATCTTCTCAGGAGGACAATAGTTTTAAGATACTTTAACCCCCTTCGAGGAAACCTCCGTTTAGCTTGATTCTTCTTCTTCATCTTCACTGGAAGATTGTCTTGCAAGATGTAAAATCGGATCGTATTGATACGGTCTGACATCCATATCAGAAATGACATCAGGAACACCTTTTACTGCTTTAGAATCCATGGACACTGTTAAGTTGTGAGGTAAAATCAAAGAGGCAGCCATCAGCAACAGGCACATATGACGTCATGTCACGTGATACCCCCTCTGTTCATTAACTGTCGGGTGTTTCCGTAAAAGGCGGAAATACGAGTACGTTTTTTGTGTTTTTATTGCTAATTTACAAACTTTTTGTTCAGTTTTAATCACGGAAGTTGACTTTTTGAATATCCTTTACGATATATTAAAAGTTCTGTTTTCGTTCGGATTCTCCTTTAACTGTTTTGACATCGAAAAATTCATCCTTTGTGATGGAATAGTCAATACAGTCATGCAGGACATGCTTGACCGTGATTCTTTCATCACAGGGGATACAAAACGGAGGATCCTCACCTTTTAATAGGTATTCGTGAATATATCTAGTATGGCCAATACGACATCGTTGTAAATCTGGACTCACAACCCAAGTAGGTGTAACCAATATAGTTTTTTTTTTCATGCAATTTATTTATACCTACTAGGGTGTCCCACTTCTTCTGCATCAGTGTATGGAATAAAAAGTGGTGTCACAGATTTGTTGAGTGCTACCTTAGTAGCAAGATCAGCCATTGTGTCCCTAGAAATGCCAACGTGGCTGAGTATAGTAACCAACAGAGGTCGCATTGGTCAGTGACGTTATATAATTCAATATTTTCGATTAAAAGTGGATGTTTGCAAGAATGATTTTTTTCAATAGCTTGAAGGCTGAAAATATGATATATTGTTTATATTTAGAATATTTATTATACTTAAGAGCTGTTAATATGGCGTTAGCTTCTGCTGTGAAAATAGAGCTGTTAGTTGGTAATCGAGAAGATATTGTTCTGGATCCAATGACATTGGCACAAGCAACCGCGCCACCATCCTTGGACCCATCTGTAAATAAGGATTTGCATGTATTATGTTAGTTTTTAATTGATTAAATTCTGGTTTATATTGTAATTCATTAGTTTTTTAAAATGTCAGTGTAAGGTGAACCTGTGGCTCTCACCAATTGCCAAGGAGGAGAAGAAAGCAGACGGGAAGGAGATATATTTTCTAACTAAATGCCAGCAGCGGAAAGGATAGGTTTCACTCTTATACCAAGAGGCGGAACAAGAGAAGACTTCTTGTTATACAGATCCTAATATAGGGGATGAAAGACACAGTTGTATGCAGGGTTTGACTCGTTGGAATATTGTTTTGTTATATACTCTTTACTCTTGAATATGGGCAGATCAAACGAAATGTATTTATTTATGTATGTATTTAATTATCTTCTGTACACAAACTCAAATCATCGATTCATAGCCTAATAAACGTACAAAATGGGACCTTATCGTACATTTTGGGTGAATATAATAATATTAAAGATCATAGATCCGCTCATGTGACTTCGAATCACTTGATTTCTTACAATCGCCAGCAGCTGAAAGGGATGGTGTAAATCCAACCAGGGTCCATGCAGGTAGCAAAGGCACTGTAAGTCCCCATGGACCCAAGTATGGTGATCTTCCTTCAGTCGTTTGCGATCAATAGCCTGTTTTTATATTGTTTCGTCCTCTATAGTATTTTAGATTTAATTACTAGTTTTAAATTCGAATCTGTGATAATCTAGTTATTTTACTGTCCTTCGTTGACAGGTTTTTACAGTTTACAATTAATTAATATATATAAAATTAATTGTTCTCGTCATTATATGGCTAAAATATTGCCGATGTGACGTTAAATTTTACCTTACTCACTCACTCAAATCACTTGATCAAAGTTGCAACTATGTTGCAAATAGCATGTTGATGGCTTGTCAGTTTCAGCCAATAAATAATGTACATTTATTTTTGCTACATCAACGCGATCGTCAATTGCACAGGATTTGTTTGGCGGCAAACACGATTATTGTTATCGCAGATCCACTCTGGGAAATTGAATATTTTCAGTCTTGTTAAAGGAGCAGATTTTTAAGAGGGCTTGTAATACATGGATATGTGGTGGTACAAATGCTGAATGCTTCTTGGTTATGGAAAAGATTGCTTTGCTATCCAGAATGGCACTGGCGTTAGATTTAACTATTGACATCTCGCAAAGTTTCAAGGTCAAATTATTATAGGAAATGGACTCAAATGAGCACCAATGACTTGCTTTATGAACAATCCTATTATTATCTAAGTTATAATATGCATACAACAGTCTGATTATGGGTATTTTCAAGTTCAATGATGTTCAATCCTTGTTGTTTTTCAGATGTACAATTACAACGGCCTATCATAAAAAGTGATGTTGTTTATTATAACCTGTTTTCAAATTGTCCCAAAGACAAACATTTAAAGCGTTACAATCGAATAATCAAAACCTTTCGCATAAAAGGGTTTATCGAAAGGAAGATATACTACTGGCTGATGACTTTAGAAATCGATAGGGCAGTGTCACTAAAACGGACGCTGTCATTTCAAGTTGCTGTTGCAAACGGCAAGAACGTTGCTTCCGATGTTTTGGAGGAACTTGGAATCTTAAAGGGTATCACTGTAACCGTTGACAAAAAAAGCATTACTTTCAAGTCGCTGAAGAAGAGATCAAAGGGACGGAGCAGTGGACCTGATGAAATTGTTGTGGTACTTGACAAAACCAAAGGACGATTAATGTTGGGTACTCGAAAGATTTGCTATGCCATGGTGGTAGACGACTTCATAAACAACTATGACGTAGGTCCTCTGGTAGTTTATCCACGAGGACATCCACCAGTCCTAAATAGACTGTTGTTTGATAGCATCGGGATTGATGTTTACGATTTTACATATGAAGACGTGAAAACTTTGATGCGTCGATGTGAGGGTTTCCTTTAACACCAAATATTTCAGTTGTATGGCAAAGGTCTTAATCGAATTTTGTCTATACAATACGTGTAACATCAAAAGCAACATAATGCCCAAAATCTTCCAGAAATATGTATGATAAAGCATTTGGACTTAACCAAATCAGATGAGTGATGAGCTCACAAATATCCTTTTGAATGATTCTATTAACATCTCTTGCCATATTTACATAAGCTCTTCATGAGCTTTGCACATGACAATTACAGACGAAAATGCTTTAGTGTCTTTATCAGTGTAAATATCTGTTAATTTCAATTTCAATTTTCTCTTATACCCCATGTACCACTGTAATAATTTAATATCAGATACTTATTGAGTTGTTTGAAGGGTATTATATAAGTCATGAACATGAGTCAAAGTGTTTTTTCTTCTTTTATGTTTCATATTCGTTAAACCGGAGTTCAAACCTACGCCTTCTTCAGGTGAATGTTACAGACTGGATGTGGACATACATAAATAAACAAGAAAATCACATTAATGAGTCCCAATCACTTGGCAAATCAATGTCCTGGTCACGGCTCGCGGCTGGCTCTTATTTCTATTGCTTCTTGAGCTTCCGTTGACACCTTTTGTTTTGGAGGAGTTACACTTCATGTTGGGTGTAGGTTCTTGACCAAGTGTTCAGAGATGGCTGAGTTTATGTTGGATTTTTGTGTGGAGGTCTGGTGTTCTTATATCTGATTCTGAATGGTGAGGGAGGTTCCCCGAAATACGTGTCACCACAGTCGTATTGGATTTCATATATGCAGCCTGTTAGATCACAGCTGTTTTTCTTGGGTCCTTTGCCATTGGCTTGGATGGGTTTTAACAAGGTGTAGTTGCTGCTAAAGGTGATGTCTCTGCTGGGGCTGTCCTTGAGGAGGCGGGTAATCTGGTAACTAACCTATGAGTCTCTTATTGATGATGGAGTGTGTTTGCTTCTGGGTTTGTTGTTTGGTGGCATTGATGGTTTTGTTGACAAGGCTGCTGGGGTAACTATTCAGGGAGATAAATGTGGCCCTGAGGTGATTTATCTTGTCGAGTCTTTCAGGATGGTATAATACTATGACGCTGCGGGAAAGGTTGGCAATGGTAGCTTGTTTGATCTCTGGATGATGGCAGGAGTTGTGGTGCTATATTGATTGGTGTGGTTTCCTGTACCGGTGACCGTCAGGATAGGATGCATTAAGGAAGGCAAGCTGCTTCATGGTTTCAGTCTACCTCCATGGATTCGTTGATGTTGGGAGCTTGACGAGTTGAGCTGGGTCTTGGTCTGCACGGATGCTGGTGGAGATAACGTCAACTTAGTGATACAAGCAGAGGGGTAACAATGGTAACAGACGTCAATGAAATGTATATCATTTGTGAACTTGATCATGCATGTGCTCCACATCCTGTGACAGCTGTCCTAGACAGGAATAAAGTATAATCAGAGGCAAAAGTTATTGTCACGTGATTTTTTGTCGTTTGTACATCGTGTGAATGAATTTTTGCATTTGAACCAGTGAAAGACTGTGTTAAAATGAAACTCAACCAATCCATTGAATTGCACGATATTTGAAAGAAGCAGGGCATATTCGAGCAAAATGCCCAGCAACGTTCTCTTTGAAAGGCCACATAAACAGACGCTAATTATGTCAACTCTATGCTGTCGTAAGGCGTGCAGGAGTTTGACATTACACTTCTATTCATCATTCTGGAATAAGTTCCACTTGCCGTGCCTTGGGGAACAGGACAGATAGAGAGCTACAGGTATGTTTCAGTCTGGTACCTCACAGCATGACGTGGGTCAAGGATTCAATGTCCATGGAAGCATCATTTGGCAAGCATGACAATGTTTCAAATAAAACAATCAAGTTATATATGGAATGCACAATGCCGTTTAGAAAGTGAGTGGTCAAATTGAGATCACAGTTTCTCAGTAGTTTTTTTATTCTAGTACTTTTGTTGAGTCCAATCCGGGATTCGAACCCATATCCTCAGAGTCAGGCACCTAATCACCAGCACACAAAGTCAACTGCCTAACCCGCTCAGTCATTTGAAGCTGTTACGGTTAATACTTTGCCGTTAAGAGTCCTTTTGAACCAGCAACATAGAATACAGACAAGTCTAAAACATTTACAGTGAGAACAGATATACTGAATGAAGGTTGTTTACTATGACAGCAGTTGAATAGACAAGCAAGGTCGGTCTTAAAACGGTCTTGATCAGTTTCATGATGGCAGACAGATGTGTATAAATCCAGTCATGTGATAATTCCCGTCGCACAACTCAACAACCAGCCTTTATATAGCTCTTACACAGTGCTAGAGCATTCTAGTAAACCTAGGCAGCATCATTATCCACTCAGAATGTTATCGAAATCAGTGGAAAACTCCATCGCATGACGAGTCAACAAGTTGCCAAGGGAGGCAACTCTTAGGCGCTAACAAAAAGGTGTGTTCCTACAAATCATATATGATACGAGATGCGAGCCACACACAAAACTTTAAACATTCTGACACATAATGATTATCACTTAATCAATGTGATATTACAAATGACAAAAAAACACAACACCTCTTAACAAAGCCGCAGACATATGTGCTTTATTGAGTACAATCCCAAATACAACATATGATACAATCGTCCCTGTAGTGACCACCCACCAGTAACGACCCAACGTCAAGTCTTAGCACTCCTTAAAAAACTGTCTTTGCCAGAAAAATGGGAAATATTACACATACAATAGTGCCTAAAATGTAAATCATGTTTCATCAAACTGATTACATATAATCAACTCATGATATTGTATCAACAATGATGTTATTTTACGTCAGTATTACACTAGTATAATGCCACTTGACGTATGACGTCATAATGGTTTACAATTATCACGTCACAATGCCAGTACGTCTGTCACAATGGTATTTGACCTTGCTTGACTCGCGGAAAGCTGAAATCATCTCACTGTTAGTAGGCAGTTGCTATCAATTTATGTTTGAAAGTAATAAACAGAATACTAAACCCACTTCCGTGAAATACCATTTTTATTAAACTCATGAAAGGTTTAGTATCAAAATCGCTTTTGCTCTTTTGATACCAAATCATGAACTCGTTTAATAAAAATGGTATTGCACGGAAGGTCGTTTAGTAATCAGATTCTGATTAAGCGCCGCGAGCAAACACTTGGTGTTTGGACACTGTGCAATATAGAAGATGACTTATTATTATTATTAGTAGTAGTATATTTACCGTATCGAATTCCCGCTGAAATAGGGTCTAGCTCATTGGCGGTATTAGTCTTTGCCCTCCATTTTAATGGACAAATAGCAGTGTTTTGTGATCAGTGTAAGCACAAACAGGAAACAAAGTTGATTTTATGCACATTAATTCTCGCATAATTTGAAAAGCCTCCTTTTAATTCTTTTATATTTTCTCTGATATTTGTCATAATTTCTGAGTATAATAACAAAGATGACGATAATAACCTGATGCCTCTTCTTGCATTAGGACAATGACAGGTCAGTTGTCACTGGCATCGATTGCCGATTTCAAACGTTTTCATAGATGAGGAGTACAGGAGGATTCCTTATGGCTTTAACTATCTCCTAAGTAGCATAAAATTGCTGTATCAACTCGTTTGCCGAGCACACTAGTGAGAAGGGCTAATACAAGAGCGAATAAGTGAAGTGAGCAGCCATTCCCGGAAGTTCCTTTTTGTCATTGGGAACTGGGTATTTGAAAATTGCTTCCCCCTTCGCTTAAACATGGTATACATTTGACAGGAGTGAGTGAGTTAAGATTTTAAGTCAAATCGGCAGTATTTCAGCCACATCATGACTATATCAAGTTACATATTAAAAATGATTATAGGTAAATTATAAAAAGCATGTAAACGAAGGACGGTAAAGCAACTAGAATATCACAGATATACATGTAAAACTAGTACTTAAACATTTTAACTATAGAGGACAACACAATATAAAAACGGGCTATACATCGCTAGCAACTGAAGGTAGATCACCATACTAGGGACCATGGGGACTTACAGTACATTTGCTTCCTTCATGGGCCCCAGCTGGATTTACACCATCCCCTCAGCCGTTAGCAGCGTAGACAAATCTAGCCATACGTTTAAAAACACACATATTCTACGATTAAAAACCGCGGAGTGTTTCAATTAACTTTGAATGTTTGTGGACTTACGTATACTAATATTTTGAAGAGCTGGAAGGCAAGATAATGAAACTGTGAAAACGATGAAGTTTTTGGAATGATTCTGCTGTTTAATATAAGTCAAAGCTGAAAAGATAGCTTTTGCCTCGGCAGTGAAAATGGAACTGTTGTCGGGAATCCTAGAGGAGTAAGTCTTGGATCCAATCACTGTAGCACTGGCAACTTGGCCCTCATCCTTGGATCCGTCTGTGAAAATGGATCTATGGGTGCCATACTTCGAACGTAACTGGTTGTATTCCTGCTGGAACACCAAAGGATTTGTTTCGGACTTTTTGAGTTTAGTAAGGGTAAGGTCGACCTGTGGTTTCACCATCTGCCAGGGTGGCGAAGACAGGAGATTAATTTTAGCTGCAGATATGTGTGGTTGTATTCTCATTCCAAGTGGAGGAACCAGGCTTGGCAGTTTGGGAAACAGGTTTTCATAGAGAGGGTTGAAAACCCAATTGTATGCTGGATTGGACTGATTTGAACGTAATTTAGTGATATACTGCGTTGTTCAAGGGAAGGTTCGTTAGCCTCTGCATATAGACTGTCTACCGGAGAGGCTCCAAGGCAGAGCCTTAGGCATTTTCTATTTTTTTCTAAATTGCTTTTGCAGGCTCCAACATAAACGATGGAGCCGTAGTCTAGTTTAGAGCGAACCAAAGACCTGTGCAAGTGAAGGAGGGTAGTCTGATCCCTTCCCCACTGTGTATTTGAAACGACTATTAGTAAGTCCAGTGCCTCAAGCACTTGGTGTTCAAATATTTTATGTGTGGTAAGAATGTCAGGTGACGGTCGAATATGAATCCCAGGAATTTGGCCTCTTCTACTACATTGATGGGAGAACCATCTAAAGATAGGTCTTGATCCTTGTGTGGTTTGTATTTACGACAAAAGTGAATACAATTTGTTTTGTATTTTGAAAACTTAAAGCCATTTTCATTGGCCCATTTTGGATTTTGTTAAGACAGAGTTGTTTTCCAGTGAGTTTATTGTTGAAAGAGACTCGTGGGATGGTCCAAGCATTATGGTGTGAGGTGCAATCGGTCTGAACCAGGCACTGTGGTGTTCCAGAATCTCGGTCCAGGATGAGGACATGACGTAACAATTGCTCGCTATATTGACCAAGTCATAAGACCCCACGTTGTACCACATTTTGGACGTTACAGAAATCACATCTTCCAGCCATACAACGCTCGTGCCTACACTACCAGAGTAACATTGGACTTCCTAAAACAACATGGCATCCAAACTCTACAATAGCCTGCCCTCAGCCTTGATTTGAGTCCAATAGAACACCTTTGAGACGTGATTCAAAGAAGACTGAATGACCGCCACCCAAGGCCGACAACTGCTGCTAGACTCGATCAGGCATTTCACAGAGTCTTTCATCAACCGGCTAATTCATTCAATGTACAGACGACGCAATGCTTTCATCGATACACATGGAGGCCACACACAATACTGACTTTGGGGTATCTTAATGGTACCACTTTTGGTGATTGTGTTTGTGTAAACTGTAAATGTGATTCCCGAAAATGTGTTAACCATAATTGTCAAGTTTGGACTCAATCCTCCGTTTTGATTGTTAATAAGAGTGAATTAGAGTGTGTACTTTAAGAAACCACTATCGGTGCGACATTTCTTTTGTGGTTCAGTATATATGCAGGTATCTATAAGCAACTAAAAAGATTCCAGTCGTACCCTTCATATAATATGTCCCCTTTATTGTAAATTTTTCCAATAGTTGCTTGTGATGTAATTTGTCATTGTAAATGTTCTTGGAGAGGGGTTATAAAATGCTAGAATATATTTTACAAGTAGTGCTTACAAAAATATAGAAAAGCTCTTTAAACATTCGAAATAAATTATTTCTGATTTTCCAACATAAAACATTTCTTGGCACTTCTAAAAGTGAAGGGCGGTGAGGTAGCCTTGTTGTTAAAGCCTTGGCTCGTCACGCCGAAGACCCGGGTTCGAATCCCCACATGTGTACAGTGTGTGAAGCCCATTTCCGGTCACACTCGCCGTGACGTTGCTGGAATATTGCTAAAAGCGGCGTAAAACTAAACTCAGTCAGTCGGTCTTAAAGTGAACACACTGGTCACCAGCAGGTAGTTTTACGGCAACAGTCTCCTGACCTCACCTCATATTCCAGTTATATCAGGGCGACTCAACTTGATGATGAAAACTAACGAGTACTGAAATACTTCCTAAATTGACGAAAATGCATAGAATATGTCAGCAAATATTCAGTGAATTGATGCTAGAATTCGATGCACTGATTGATATGACTTTGCATTTTTAACATAAATGATTTTTTAGTTTTTCCTTCATCAGTCACAAACTCATAGATGCCAAGGAAATGTAGAGGTAACAAATCAAAGTTTTCACGTAGGTTTGGTAGTACAATATGTAATGCGTCAACTCAGATAGTTATTTAATGATTAAGGATTGTATGAGATGCAAGCGCCCGACGGTGAAAGTAAGCACAAAACTGGATAACTGATAAGTGGATTGTTTAGTTCCGTAGCTAGTGTTTGCAGGCAAGCGTTGTGTAGTATTGGTGGTTACTATAGAATGAACAGGCCGTGCCCAGCCTAACCTTTGGTGCCACCACCGATTGTTTCAGTGATTCATATAATAATTGTTTTATTCACCATTTTTGCTGTTGCGCCCCAGTTCCTACTGGATTGCTCTTCCGATTGGGTGGCAATTCCATACACATTACTGTCAAATCAGAATTGTTAACATAGGATATCAAATAATCATGTCTTTAACTCATGAAACATTTTTACAAACACAACACACGTGCTTTTTTGAAGCCATACACAAGAAAATCTCTACACATCAGAAAAAGGCGTCTGATACTTGACTATTTCATTTCAGCCACATCTCTGTGAACAGTGCCCAGAGCACCACGTTTGTCTTGGCACCAGATCGGGAGCCACCAAGTGTGTGAAAAAAGATACAACAAAGGAGTCAAAAGCAGGTAAAATCAGTCTTCTTTGTGTTTGGTTTTGGCATCCAGCGTGGGTACCAAACGAATCAACCAGGTCAAACACTGAAAGTACCAAATCCTGTTTCTCCTCGACCAGTATTTTCACCACCCTCAGAGTCAGGCACTTAATCGCCAGCACAGTTGTCCGACTTCCAATTTTGTGGAAGCCGCGGTGGCTGAGCGGTCCAGGCGTCTGACTTTGTGTGGTGACTCTGAGGGTGTGGGTTCGAATCCCGGATGGGACTCAACCCAAAAGGTACTAGAATCTGTACTTTACTAAGAAAGTGTAATCCCAAATATAATATATGTTACATTAAAAATACAGATGAAAAGCGAATAGTACACTTCACTTCCTCAGAACCGTTGATCCTCGACAAGTCTATCCTGATGATATGGAATGGAAATATTTCACTTAATATACATGAAAACTTAAGGGTACGTAGCACATTTTCAGAACCTTTGAGTCACAACAAATCTATCCTGATGAAAATATGTTGTACCATAACATGTACAAAAGCTGTCAACCATGCGCTTTATCATAAGTAGAATTGCAAAGGTTTGTATTTAAGACTAGTATGAGTGAATTGCGTTTTACGCCGCTTTTAGCAATATTCCAACAATATGATCACGGCGGGGGCGCCAGAAATGGGCTTCACACATTGTATCGATGAAGGGAATCGAATCCAGGCCTT